GCAGCTGAAGAAGACAAAAAAGTGAAAGATTTTTTTATAGATATCAAAAAGCAGAGACAAGCGAAGCTTAAGGAGAAGCCGTACTTTTACATACCATGAGATCTGCTGAGGCAGAAGGTCGAAGATCACAAGAAAAAGATGCTTGAACTTCGTAAGCCTCCGCCACTATCAGACTATGACCGCTCCCTCGTGAAGTCACATGATGCAGATAAGAAAAGGAAAAGAGCATCAGGGAAGGATGTCCCACAGCTCGGACAACAGAAGCAACCAATGCAAAATCTTGTTGTTGCTAATGAATATGGTTCCAACATAGAAGTCTATCGACCAGATAACTCTGGAGAAGTGTCGGTTCAAGACCTTAATGCTTTTTTTAAAGATACTGGTTTAACCTTGGATCAATTAACGGGCAAAGCTCCAATCCAGAACCTGGAAGTTGATACCTGGAAGACTTATAAATTTGGCAAAAGTTTGTACAACCCTGCGGCTCTGAATGAATTGGGTATTAAATGTACTTGCTCAATAAGTGGTACATGCAGGCGTGTGGCAGGGGTGAGGAGTGGATCTTTGTCAAATTTAGAGACCATCATTACTTCCGTGGCAATGACATCTTACATATTAGTTTCGAAGAATTGCATCAACTATACCACATGAACGCTCTGGACAAATCAATCATTAGCTCCTTTTGTTTGTAAGTGATTCTTACTTTTATTTAATAAACTCACTTACATGCGTACGTGTATATAATTATCCTCACATGTAACTTATATTTATATACAGATTCCATATGTCAGAGCTCCAAAGAATACAAGACACCAGTGTTGGCTTCATTGATCCTTATATCATATTCAAAACCGATATTATTGCCAAGGAGCATTGGGTATCTGAAGCACAGAAGAATATCATGAGGTTCTTCGTGAAGCAGCAAGACAAGACAACAATACTTTTCCCGTACAGTTTTGAGTAAGTGTTAATAATAATGTAGTCTACACATTTTATGTAATATCAATACAACTTATATGCATGTATGCGTGTGTATAAACCAATGCAGTTTCATAATCGGATATTCATTGTCATTGAGTTAAACTCAAGTCGGTTAGTAATCTTGGACTCGTTGAGAAAAGAGCGGGCACTATACCAAGATATGATAGACATTATCCAGAGTAATTTCGATCTCTCTCAAGCACAACTATTATTGAATAGACTTTGCCATAATTTATTAACGATCGTACATTATTGGTCGCATGTGTTTAGAAAGAGTTTATTCGGCAACACCGCAAGGATTGCAAGGCATCACTTAATGTAGTTGAAATACCGAAAGAAGTTGTACTATATATATTTCCCCACGTGTTTAATTACTATATCGTACTTCAATTTACGTGTGAGATGATGAGAATAATCTTCTTCTCAATATAGTGGTGTTTTGCGGTAAACAACTGTGTAATAACTTGTGTGGATACTACGTTTGTGAATTTATCATCATGCTACATAAGAAGAACTCCTAAAGATGTCCTCGTAGTACGTATATATTAATTTTTATTTATTTTTTTAAATGAATATATATATATATGTATTAATACTTTTCCTTTTATTTTAAATGCAAGACTGAATGGTTGAAACAAAGGGTCATGCAAAAGACCATCTCAAAAGCAGTTTAAAAGTCAATAGCGAGATTTCTTCTAGAAAAGTGCTAAATCCCAACAATGAAGTTCTACTTTGATCCTAAGGAATAAATGATATAAATTAAATGTTTATTGATATCGTTATTTTCGAGAACAAGATTATGAAAGTGTTGTATATATACATATATATCTATAATATATATAGTTTGATACTTTATTCGAATATAATAATACTCGAGATGAGAATTAGATGTAATTATATATATGCGTGCGTGTATTTATATTAGCAGCGTAGAATACGTACATAAAACATATTATATATTAAACAAATATGTGTAACTGAACTGAAAATAAATTAAACAAAAAAAAAAGAAAAAAAAGGAACCTTTAGTCCCGGTTGAGGTTACCAACCGGGACTAAAGGGTGCGGCCACGTTTCCTCGACTGAAAGGCCTTTAGAGTCCCGGTTGGTAACACTAACCGGGACTAAATGTCCATCTTTAGTCCCGGCTCGATGACCCGTGACTGAAGGTTCCATCTTTAGTCCCGGAATCGTTGTCCCGGCGTGGTAACCGGGACTAAAGGCTGTTACCGCCCGGGACAACAAGGCCATCCTATAGTAGTGTCCAACAACTGATACTTCTCCTGTATATTTTCCATTTTTCTTTTGCTGCTTATATTCTCCTCTAGACGCAAGTGAGTAGCTTCAATCGTGTTCGGAACCCCTACGCCTCCAAGCTTTTCCTGTCGCCCTCGTTCAGCCACTGCCGGGGTATCTTTGCTAGTGGTTGCTCTGAGCCAGCCGCGTTACGTCGTCGCTTGATGCTTCGACCGAGGTGGAGATTGGGCCAACACTGTCCCCTCAGCCGATCTCTCTGAACCAGCCGATCAGGCCAGTACCTGGTAGAAGTTTATAGCTCAACATGTTTGATCTCTTTTTATTGTCTGGCCAGCTAGCTACGAACCCAGGCAAATCAACGTTGCCGTATGCTCTTCTCTGCACAGGAATCTGGGGCCGATCAGATTTTTTCTGACACCACGTACATCGGCTGTGGGTTCCACCTTGTCCAGGCATGCAGTAGCCGATTGCAGCACAGGCTTATCGGCTATATAGCCGATGGAAAACATTATTCGCAACAGCCGATGAACGTCGTCGCTTGCCTAGTGCGTCAGTTATACTGCGTGGTCACAAGGCGGCAGGAGCCATCGAGTCTTCGCGTGTGCGATCTTCGTGAGGTGGTGGCCGATGGCTGCTGTGGCTTCATATGCCACTCTCGCTCTCCTCTTCGCGCGGCATGAGGACCTTCACAGAACCTCCATATCAGCCCAGTAATCCTTTAGAGCGCATTTTCAGTGACGCCTTCCACCATGTCGTGCTTCCGCTGCATGCGCCTCTCGGGTCTCGGCGAAGCTGACGCGGATACTGCTAGAGCATTCACCCGCTGCTGCCCCTTCATTTGAAGTTGTAGCTTTTCTTGATGGTGGCACCGTTGATAAGGTTATCCTTGCTGGTATCCACTTTCTCCGTTTTCTTTCTTGTATATAAACAACAAAGATAAATGCAATCGGCCTCTAGGCCTCTGCATCTTTCAGCCGATAAAGTCATCATCACATAAAGAACATCATCATCAGCCTGATAACATATCAAATATACCCTTTTAGATATAGGAATGCTATACAACACATGTGTGTTTTTTGGTTTGTTGGCACATGGATTTTGTGTCCGTCGGATGAAGAATGCAACGTCCGATCAGTGCTGGTTGTTCTGTGTCTCTGTCATATGGGTCTGGACGTCGGCGTCACTGTTTAATTTTTGGAGTCGCACCTGATTTCCCCCATTTCCCCATTTCCCCATTGTCCACGCTCTTCTGACCTCGCCGCTCCGCCCCTCCCCTCCGACGCTCTCTTGCTAGGAGAGGCGACCTCGCCGCTCCGCCCCTCCCTGTCTCTGTGCGTCTCCCCTCTCTCCCTCTCTACCGGTCTCTCTCCCTCTCCATCCCGACGTGGACAGGGCAGCGACGGCCAGCGCGGCGGGTGCGGCCACCCTCCTCGTCCTCCTCCTCCGTCCTCCCTCACCTGCCTCTCACCTCCGTTTCTCCCTCCCCTTCATCACTCTCTCTCCCCTTCCCTCTCAAGGCGGTGGTGGGCGTGAGGCGGCGGTGGCTGCCAGGCGACGACGCCCTTGCAGGCGCCTTGCCGGCACGGGAGGGGCTCGGTGGCCTCCTCTCTCTCCCCCATCCTCCGTGCGGGCTCCTCAATGCCTCCTCCCGCTGGGGAGCTTGTGCTCCTCTACTCGACGAAACCCTAGGTTTGTGTGCTCCGGCGGAGACGGACGTTTTGGTTCATTTTGTGTTCATCTGGTTTGTGGAGGCGGAGGCGGACGTTGAGGCCAAGGCCGAGGCCGAGGCCGAGGTGTAGCCGGAGGCGGAGGTGGAGTCTGATGTGGACCTGGAAGAAGAGTCTGAGCTCGAGTCTTCTCCATTGTCGATTTCTCTCGCCGGTGAGTTTTTGGATTCAGTTTTCGATTAGATGTTGCAGATCCGGTTTCTGTTGATATGATTTTTGCTCATGTGTTGTGTATGCTGATGCTTAGGCTTAGGTTTAGGCGTCTCCTACTGCAGATGGTGTCTTCGCCGGTCGGTACCTGATCCTCCAGTCCGTAGTAGTCGGACTCCTCCATAGCCTACTCTTCTATCCTTTGTTTTCCCTGCACTCCTGAGACTCATGTCCCTGCTGTTTGGTCAGCGCAAATAGCTCGTCGGAGCTGCTGTCGAGCAGTCTCTAGAACTAGCACGGCTGGTAGAACACAAAGGAAGAGGTAGTTTGTGGCAGCCCGATTTCTCAGGTAATTACTAATGGTCTTGACCTGTTCAAGAAGGAGTTAGATCTAGGTTGTCCTCTGGTCGGTGCTGTCAGTTTGTCAGAGTAGATGAATTTAAGAGCTGCAATAGAAGTGAATTCCTGGTTAGCACTTGGATCGTGAAATTAATTTTTCCGTCCATGTGTTTGTCCGATTGGGCAAATTGATGACCAATGGGAAGATTTTCTTTACTTGAAATTAATAGTTAATTCGTATGAAAAGGAGCAGGGGGGGCTTGCTAATGTTTATGACAGTAGAAGCTTATTCATCTACTATAGTGCCGAGGCTCTGGAGGGGAAAATATACGTTGAGTTAATTTTTTTTTGACCTGTGTCACAGGCCAACAGTTTGCCTCGTTGTGGTTGGGATAAAAGTGTCGTTTGTATGTGTTATTCCTGTGAGCAATTTTATCTTGTATGTGTTATTCACCTTTAGATTTATCTGTTTCTATGCTTGTTATTCTACTATGTGCTTTTTTGTCCAACGACAACTTCACATCATCTGAAATTCTTATTAATAGCAATGACAACAGCTGGTCTTATTATTCTGAAACATTGTCTGTCCATTCTTTGCTGCAAATCTCTCCATGTGGACTTTCACTTCCGGTGCTTCCAGGTACACTACATTCTCAACATCGGAATTTTGTTTTTTTGATTATTTGTTTGTTGAATATGATCTTTCTTTGTTGGCAAATTTACTATTATATGTACTATGAATTTGATTTTTTTCATTTACACTAGAATTCTTCTATACTTAACGTGCTTAATCTGTTTTAATTGCTAGGTATTATTCTTGTAATTGCTAGGTCAACAATACTAAGTGAAAAAGTTTATTAGGCTCATGTCTGATTCATAATTTGATTTCAGTGTATTTACTTTGATTTGGTTGTTTGGTTCGTGCACTGCCCTCAGTAAGTTTTTGGTTTTTGAATTGCATACAACTTTTTTTCTTTTATTTGTTTGGTTCAAGCAGTTTGCACATGTTCTGCTTCATTTTGATATTAGTCTTTTATTTTGGTTCGGATTGTCCTTTGTACTTTGTGAAGCTTTCTTTGTGGAATGCTGGTTATGGAGCCGGTAAACGTAGACCAGTTGAGTGCTTTTACGTTGTACTTTGTTTGTTTATTTGCTTGTGTGTTTGTGTGTATGTGTGTGGAGGAGGCACAGGTGTGTCAGTGTTACCACGGTTTGCTTGCCTCTAAATCCCAATTGATGCACATTCTTTGCTTAAGCTGCAGTAGCCATCATGCCTAATTGAGCTCGGTCCTCCACGAACAATGACATTGATGAAGCATTTTTGTTTTACCCTGTACTGCTTGTGTATAGCCTCATCCTCCTTTAGTTTTGGATAGCTGGGCTGTCTTGTGGCTGTTGTAGTGGAATAGTAGGAGCTCACATCTTTTAATTGTGTGTTGCATATACGCATACACTATACAAGAAAGCTGTGTTTAGTATCCATTTCTTGATTGCACATTTATAAGTAATAAATTGCACACTTAAAATACTGCAATTATGGTTTAACATGTGCAATATCCTGTCTTTATACATAGCTTTGGCACTATTTTATTTTCCTTTTTACATTTGATTAAGCAGTAAAAACATATGTTCAGAAAGCTTGCCTCTGTGGTTGAATCAGTTATTTGCCTCCACATTTTGGGTTCTCTGATCTGTTTTTGTTTGCCATCTATAGATATTCGATAAGTGTTATTTTGATGACCTGTTTTTTTGGTAGTATTTCTATATATGATTTTCCCCACTGTAACAGGAGACAGAGGATGTTGTTTTTGTAAAAGAGGTGAACCTAAAGGATAAGCTGAATAAGGTCTGCAACAGTATTGATGTCATGTATAATGAAGACATTTTGCATGGAAAGAAAGTTCAAGAACATTTTACTAAAGACAAGAAGCAGCGATCCTTTTTTTTGTCTTTTGTGAGTGAAGATGGACATATATCTGATGCTGCCTAGCCAAGTAAATTTCCTGTGACACCTCCCTAGAGAAGAGATACTACAACGCAGTCTGCTCGTTAGCATCTGGCAGTCATGCTAGGTAAGATTTTGTCATTTTTTTGGGGTACATGCTGGTTACTGTCATAGGTCTGAATTTTTTCCCCTGGACCCAACAATGATGAATTTGTTTTTCTAAACTTTTTTCTGTGATAGGTCTGTTGTAGTTGATCTTGGAGGTTGCAGTTTGAAATATTTCGCTCTTGGTGATTCAATGGCCCTTGGAAAACAAGTTTGCAGTTTTGTTATTAATTGCCTGTGCCGGAAATTCTTTATGGATGAGCGTCCAACTGTATCAAGGAAGCATTATTTCGTTTCGTCTATATCTGTAAGTACCCCTAAAATAATTGCAATGTGTTATATTTTTTGTTTGTTTATTGTTTCTAATATTTTTTCTTTTGCATTTGTGGTGTAATATTTAAAATTTTATATTTCCCCTACTCAGGAAGTGTTTATGAGTGATTTGCCAGACTACTCCTATGTTGAGAAGTGCTTTAGTGGGGCTGCTTCTGTGTTGATTTTGCCACTGTGTGATGAGGTATATTTTTCTTCTAGTTCTATATTTGAGTTTTGTGGAGTAAAGCTTTAACGTTACTTCTTTATAAATGAATAAATCATTCCGTCTAGCTGCGATGTGTGTGACCATTTGAGCTACTGCTTGATTTTTCATGGTTTTGCTTGTATCATTTCTTTTTTGTCCCTACTGTCATCTGAAGGTTGCAATGAGTTTTTTTCTCAGCCAAGCCTTTGGTTCCATTTGTTTATCTGAAGTAACTTTCTGTAGCCAGTTATATTTTTTGCTGCTTTCAGTTTTAAAGTAATGTGATGTTTAGTATATTTGATTAGTTAGCTGCTGTTAATATTCCATTCTAATGTTTGAAGCTATTTTTGCTGCTGTTCTATATACTAAATCTATATAGAAGTATAGTAAAATGCAATTTTGTACTAGTCTGATGTTTTTAGGTATACTGTGATGTTTAAATCTAAGTTTCCCATTTTTTTTCTGCCCAGCTATTCTTTCCTGTGTTACATGGCAAGCACTGGTTCCTTTTTGTTGTTGATTTGAAGAACAAGATGTTCATAATTCTTGATTGGTATTATTCAAAGGATGATGGTTTTTGTGTTTACACAAGGAATAAGTTGGTAAGCTTCAATGGTTTCCAACTCAGTTTTTTTTGCTATTATTGTTAATATTTTGTGCGACCTGCTTGCTCCCTGTTATATTTTCTGATTGTCCTTTTTTTTGTTCATAGAAGAAGAGCTTTTGCCATGCATGGGCCATGTATGTTGGATTGGACCCAGGTTTCAATAATTTCCGCACTTGTTATGCTCATGTTCCAAAACAAGCTAACCAGTAATATGTTCTTTTCTCCTCTTTCACATCTTTTATTGTGTTTTTTGTTATAGTTATAGTATTTTTTGACAATGCATTTTTTAGAGTTGATTGCAACGTGCAGATGTTCTTTTTTAGAGTCTTTATGATTAAATTCATGGAGGTTTGGTATTTCAGGTGCAACATGCTTGAAGTTTTCTCTCAAGAGGACATACCAAACATTCGTGTTCAAATAGTAAATGATCTCTTATTCAGCAAGCACAACACTGCAGATGTGAACATAGTAAAGAACTTCAATGCAAATGTTAGTTTTTCTTTTACTGTTCCTTTTCCTTTTTTGCATTTTTTATTGAATGTAGTCATGTGTATGCTCTGTTTCTAAGTCTGCATTTTGTCCTTTTTACCTTTTTTCATTTTTGTAACAGGTTCTGTCTTGTTGAGGCCAATCGAAGTAGGTGCTTGATCATGGAGGGTGATGCCCCGTTTTTTTTGTATAGCCCGATGAGGTTTAGTTTTTCGTTTTCGTGCAGATTTTTTGCAAAGAGGGGTTTTCCCAATGAAGAATATGTAATAGCAAAGAGCAATAGCAGTTTTTTTCCTGAATGATACATCAGTTGTTTCACTCTGATATTAGCTAAGAGACGTTACATGAATAGATACTTGCACTGATGTGCAGTACAATCAATTCATTGATATCTAGTAAATGCACCCTCTCTTCAAGTCTTCTTTTTTGTCTCTGTTTTTGATGCTTCTTGCTTCTTCTTCATGTCCATTGCCACTTTCAATCAACTGCACAGAAAAATATCAGAAATTAAAATTTAGTTTTGCTCTTTTAAGTTTTTCTAGATGTGTATATATCTTTTTTGTATCTAATTGCTTTTAGGTGCTTGCTTTAGGACAAAATAAAAATTACCTTTTGGTTGTCTTTCCTTGTTTTTTCTCTTTTGATTTGCCAGGGCATGTACTTGTGTTGTGGCCTAAAGCCTTGCAATTTTGGCATGTGTATTTTTTCTTCTGTGTCTCTTTTATTCTTTCAACCATCGGCATTGGTCTTTTGTTTGATTTTATTGGCCTTCCTTTTGTTTGGGCAACATCTGGATCTATTAGCTGTATATTTTGGTTGGACGGGATGTTTTCATCTCTGGTGGTGCCTTCCTCTTGTTGTTTCTGCTTGTCTAATCTCATTTTCTTCAATTCCCCTGTGATTCTTTCAATCTCTTTGCTGAGATAGTTGTACTGTTCTGCTGTTTTTTATCCTTAGGCCACCATTTCGGCTGACATCAAAGAGAGAGTATTGTATCTAAGGGCGCTAGCTTCCTCTGGTAAGCTTCCTGGGCTTGTGAAAAACATCTTTGTTTCTTTTTCCCTCCACCTTTGTATAATATATTTGTCTGGTTTCTTGCTGATATCTTTTTTCATCATCACTTTCAGGATATGACTGCATATGATCCCATCTTTTTTTGGAATTTGCAACATATACAAGAGTAGTTTTCAGCTTGTGTGTCCATGACAACTATGTAAGTTCTATTTCTGGACTCGTTGATTGAATGCTGTTGTTGTGCATATACTTTGTATATCCTGCCTTCTTCCGCTCGCAACCTTGTTGCTTGCCTTAGTTGCCACTGAAATTTCAGAAAAATTCTCAGGTTATAAGCTTCTTGTGCTTGCTGTTCCATGTAATAGTGTGACCATGGCTTTGATTTTTTTGGTGCTTGTCTCATGATCAGCTTGTGCCTCATTGTCATATATAGTTTCTTGAATCCTCTCATACTCCTTTAGGAAGCTTGTCATGCTGTATTGAGGCCCAACATTCCTCTTGAACCTCGCATTTGTACTCTCACTCCTTGATGTCGTATTTATAAATGGATAAAATTCTTGCTTGAACCATACCGGTGCCCATCTCTCTCTAGTGTTATACATGATTTGGATATATTTGACATGCTGAACACCATATCTGTTTATGAGCTGATGCCACTGTGTTTCAAATTCTTCCTTTGTCAATGAGTTGTCGATGATGTCATTTAGCTCTTCCCTTAGTGTCAAGCAGTTTTCTATAGTGTCTTGTTTTTTATCTAGACACCTTCCACACTTCATCTCAGCTTTGTACTTAATGTGAAAAACACAATTTCTGTGGTTTGCTGTTGGGAAAATCTCTGCAATTGCTGTCCTCATCGCTCCATCTTGGTCTGTAATTATTGACTTCGGTTCTTTTCCTCTCATTGCTTCTAGGAAAGTTTGGAACAACCATTTGAAAATATTTGTTGTCTCATCTGAAATCAGTGCACATCCAAAGATGCAAGTAAGCCCATGCCCTGTGATCCCCGCAAATGGTGTAAATGGCATGCGATACTTGTTTGTCAGGTATGTCATGTCAAAACTCACACAGTCGCTAAATTCCTGATAATATCTGACTGATCTAGGGTCTGTCCAAAAAACACATTTCACCTTGTTATCGCTGTCCACTAAGAACTTGTACTAGAAGCTTGGATCCTCCTCTTTTTTCTTTGTGAAATACAAGAGTGCTTGTGTCATGTCAGTTTGACTTGTTTCTCTTTTGATTTTGTTTCTGTAGTTGCTGATGTCCTTGTCCCTGTATGGTGTTGTTCCCAGGCCACCCCGAAGGAATGATAATAGGTACATCATCTTCTTTGTTGGTATGTTGCACTCGTTTAGTGTCTTGATCATCTTCTTCTCTTGTTCTGTCATATCCTTGTGGGCTCTGAAATATTTTGCCCCTGCATTTGTGTCCCTCTCTGTGTATCTCTTCCTCTTGTGTGTTTCCTTCTTTGGATGTATCTTGCTGCCCTTGCCTGTTGCATTTGTAGGTCACTCGCATGACTTCATTGTTTCTTTTTTTTTGCTTTGTGTGCGAGCATGGTGAGCTTTTACTGCTACAAAACCCACCAAACAAGCATACTTGTTGAAATAGTTATGTGCTTCTTCAGCTGACTCAAACTCCATGCCCTCATGAGGAATATATTGGCTGTCAATTCCACCATTATCACCTTGACTAGATTCTATTCTTTCATTTTCTAAGAAGTTGTTTACATCTTCTTCTTCAAGGATATTTGTTTGATGTGTTGTATGCTGTTGACTTTCACTCCTTTGGGGCTCCTCGCTGTCATGATTTCCTTCTGCATCATCTGCACATAATTAAAAAGACAATGTCAAAACTTACAAGATAACTCACATTTTCCTCTGTTTATTGTGATTTGTGCCTGCCCACATCAAGTTTTTGTCCTTGTCCTTTCATAAAAAAAATTGTCTCTTGTGATTTGTGCTAACTCACCTTTTCCTTTGTTTATCGTGGTTTGTGCTTGCCCAAGCCAAGTTGTTACTCTTGTCCTTTCATAATAAAAAATTATCTCTTGTGATTTGTGCTATCACTTCATGAACTTTGTTAATTCTGATTTGTGCCAATACACATCTCATTTTTGTCCTTGTCCTCGCACATCAATATAATACAAACCCTAGAAGCACCATTTTCCACCTGTAGCTTGTTTTATTAGGTGGTTTTCTATCAATGACACTGCTACATGAGCACTTATGTCTTATGCCAGTTGTACTTTAGTGATATCAAAGAACTATTTCTGATCAGACAACTTAAAGATTCAGTAAACCAAACAATTTAAAAATTCAGTTACATAATTGCAGTTTGCTATAATGTAGATTGCAAGTATCAGGCACTGTAATTTTAGTTCTAAGCATATGCAATATGCTGTTGTTGAACCGTTAGCCTCGTTGTTACTAAATTGTTACTTATGATTTGTGCTAGAGCTAGTATATTTGTTACTAAATTGTATTTTATATTTGTCATGATTTTGTGGTTGTGTCCTAGTTTGTCATCTATCTTTGTTAATACTGATAAACAAGTCATCCTTGCTGGCTTTACCAGTGTTGTGCATGTCTGCTTCATTGTCCAGTAGCAGTAGGTGCTGATGATGAATGTAGCTTTGGTTTCACTGCCTCACTAGGTTCTCAGGACCACAATGCATCTTTCCTGTGAACCCTATTTGCTTTAGAAAACTGACAGTAAGCGAAAGGTATCTATTTGTCTTCCTTGATTTTTTAGGTTAACACCAGCGGATAGTTTATTGGTCTGGCTGAGATGGTGGGTTGAGTTGATTTTAACAAGACAGTTGAATATTTGCAGCAGGACAAGTGGACTAGTTGGTTTCCTGTCAAGTGGCACATTATGAAGGACATTCCTAACAGCTTGTTGAAGCACATCATTCTTGAGTATAATGAAAACAAACCAGTTACTAACAGCAGACACACGCAGGAGGTGAGTTAAGTTGCTTTTAGTTTTTCTCTTGTTTTGTCAGTTTCTCCACTGATTGTTGATGGTTTCATATTGTAGTAGAAATTCTTGTCCTTGTCATTTCATAGAATAAAATTGTTTCTTATGATTTGTGCTAACACATCTTAAACTTTGTTAATTGCGATTTGTGACAACACACCCCTCTTTTTTCTCCTTGTCATTTGTGCTAGCTCACATTTTCCTTTGTTTATTGTGGTTTGTACTTGCCCAAGCCAAGTTTATGTCCTTGTCCTTTCATACAAAAAAAATTATCTCTTGTGATTTGTGCTAACACTTCATGAACTTTATTAATTTTGATTTGTGCCAACACACATCTCATTTTTGTCCTTGTCCTTGCATATCAAAATAATACAGACCCCAGAAGCTAAACTCCTCCTTGTTATTTTTTGTAGAAGTTTTTTAGTTTTTTGTGCATGATATTTGCTCATGATAATTTGTCTACAATAGTGTACCAGTGTGATCTCTAATAGCTGCATGTGCTTGTGGCAGCTTACTCACATGCAAGAATGGTTGTAGTAGTGTGCTAGTAGGATCTGCTAGTGGGTATCTACTTCCTCAATGTGGTAACTTGTTTGTGTCATTGTGTGTAAGGTATCATAAGGAACCTGGGCATAGGAAATGGTGATCGAGCTGCATGCCAGAGCCATCTGGAGGTGTGCAAGTACTTGGTTGAGGAACTATGATGTCATCTAAATATGGCTGTA